ATGATATTACTTTTGTTTGTTTGTCATCGTTATTTAGTGCTGAAACTAAGTTATCAATCATTCTTTATTTTAACTTGATTTTCAACAGACAATAATATTAGTTTAGCTGTTAGTAATGAAATTTGATTACAATGTTGATTTTTTTCTGAACGCTTTTCAAAATTTATTTTTGAATCGTTATTTAATTCAACTACATCATTACTCTCCAACTTGAGAGATATTTTTTCCAAGCCTTGTTCGTCCTCAATATAATTTCTTCCTCGAATAACACGACTTAGTATAAGTAAAATATAATTTGAACAACTTTCATCAAAACAGTCCATATTTTTTATTAACTTTTTCGTTATTCTCTTTGATAATCAACTTCTTTTTTCAGCAATTATCAGTATAGAAGTAAACACGGACTTTATAAGACCAGCACTTGAATCACTAGACTGCATAACGTATTCGATCAATAATTCCAAATGTCCGTCTCCCAAAGCCTTGTTTGTTTCGTGTTCCAAATAATTATTAATTATCTCTGTGATATCTTCTTTTATTTTATTATCATAGACGTAACTATTTAACAAATTAATTAATTTCTCAAGCACTTCATCGGTAAATAATTCTTTACTCCTTTTCGCGTCTCTGGTTTGGTTATTCAGAAAATTAATTATCACCTCATGATTTTCACATGGCTCACGTACTAATACATTGATAGATGCTTCAAATGTTGTTTTTTAATCAATTTCATTAGTTGAATTAGCTATGTTCATTAATTGAAATATCAATTTTGTAAACTTAGCATCATTATCTTGATAATTTATTAAACATTTTTGGATTTTATTGATTCTATCCTTACTAAGAACTCGTTTGTCTCGAATTGAACAGTTATATGTGGCATTTAAACTGTCCAATCTAATTCGATTAATTTCGGCTTTTATTATTTCCGTTAGTTCATTTCTATTGAATGTTTTTCGTTTCACTTCAGCGGAATTCCACAACCATCCTTTATGTATAACAAATTCTATTGGTTTGTTTATAATTGTCTTAACAAAGCTAGCTACTGTATCTGATGCTTTTAATTCGTTTAAAGCATTATATTCAGCATATGTGTTACTAACAAATAAGTCTACTATATCATCTTTAAAATTCAATGCAACTGAAATAAAAGTATCAAATTCAATTACACATGTCATTAATTTATCTATAGCATCACTGTTTAATTGCCGCTTTTTTGATGCTCTAAACAATGTAGCGGCTATCATTTTGTTAGTAAAAAAAGAATAAACTTTCTTTCTCTTTGTGACTGCAAAAATTTCTTTTGGTGACATATTTGTGTCAAAACAAAAATGCCGACCAAATAATTTTTATGGTAAATAATTATCTTTATTATCACTTTTTAATGTTTGTCCTTGTAATACTATTAATGAGTATAAATTAATACATTCTCCTCAAGTAGTTCTCCACATTGATCTATTATCACCACTTGTATCATCTACAGTGTCTATTTCCTCTAATTTTGTATTCATATTTAGCCTTCTGTTTCTATTTTTAAGTGCATCTGATAAATTCAAAAATTTCCTCTGTCTCTTCTGACTTTTTATTATTGTAACTTGATTTCACAGTTTCTATTGTTTTGGTAACTACTAGTTTATTCATTTAGTTATTACCATTAGATTGACCTGTTGATTTAAATCGATGCTCGGTTTTTAATTGATCATTGCTATAAACACTTTTACTATTTGCTAAACGAATTAATAAAAATTCTTTTGCATCTTCATTTATACCAACGCTATTTAGCACCAAATTATTTAGTTCATTAATTAATTCTTTGCTTAATATTGATTTTTCAATCATGCAATGTATTAAAAAGTTCAGTCCTAATAAACTCGTTATAACATCGTTTCTTAGAAGAAATAATTTGCGAATGAAGAATATCAAACGTAGTGCCTAACAACTTCTTTTGTGAGTCTTCCTTGCCTGAGATACTGCGTGCATTAAAAAAAAGGATTTTTATCATTTCGCTTCCACCTTTTGCCCTATCTTTTTGCTGTCTGATATCCGACCATGTAACACGTGGATCAACATTAGAGCTATTTAAACACACAAATTCCTTATTTATACACGACCGTCGAGGAAAAGGAAAAAAAAAGTCTATACCAAAATTGTTCATTCATATTTTTCCTGTTAAATACATCAAATATTATCTTATTATTCATCTTCATCCAATAAACAATCAGCATCCTTTTGTGTAAACAAATTAACATCTTTTTTACCATCATGATATATGACGATTCCATTAAACGTGCGTACGTTTTTCTTATTTTAATTCTACCTTTCTAATTTTAATTTGGCGTATTTAAATAATTTATAGTTATGTGGTATCGAGTCTTCATTGATCGATAATGATTTGTCTAAACTTTTTTTGTTCATCATTATATTTGATTTTGTTTTATAATGGATAAATCGAACAATAATTTCACGTGGTGCTTGATTTCGTAGTTGCTTTTGATTATTATTACGTCCATTATGAATTAAACGATGACAAACAGAAATATCGTTAGATGTAATATTGACACCTATATTCGAACATGTATCAATCACTAAAGGTTCGACATTTTCACCTTGTACTTCTAGAATTCCATGTATACGAAGATTTAAACGACGATCATATGTAGCTAAAGGGTTATGATCTGATTCTAATTTTTCTATACGATCTTCCAGTAATTTGACACGTTGTTGTAAAGATGTAATAGTTTGTTTAATTAAACTTGAAACACCTTCAATAAATTCTTTTGATTGAAATGTTTGCCTTGCCAATTCGTGTACGTCAATACCCATATCATCATCTTGCTGTGTTGATTGTTGATGTTTCTTACTTAGCCCACTTATCATGATGACAGTATTCAGTATAAAATTGACGGACCACGTATATAGCTTCGACGAAAAAGACGAAGAAAAAGAACTTAAGTTAAGAGATACGTCTTGACTCGATGAAAATAAATGTAGAATTATAGGTTATTGTATGTTAAAAAATTTCAAGTATTCGAAAATATTCGAGTACATTTTTAAATACTCGTAAAAAAAGTCCCGAGTACGAGTACTGAAAATGTTGTACTCGACTATACTCGTAGTCGCACATCTCTGTACTCGTACCTTCTGAGTATTAATCGATCACTTACTGAATACGTTTTTTTCTTCAATAAAGAGTTGGGGTAGTCGGAGGGATGGGGAGCGGTAGCTTGAGAGTGAGCCACCGGGCAACAAGTCAACGTTAAGCAAGGACAGTGGGTACTAAAATCTACATACAGTACACATTTGGAAATCAAGAATGACGACATCATCCGATTAATAAAATTTATAAAAGTGTAAATTTGTGAATGTGTAAAAGTTCAGAAGAAATAAATGTCGTAACATCATCTTCATTAGTGGTGACGATCATTATAACATCTACAATGTCCAAAATTGGCATAATCACACTTTCCTCTGATGTGTCAATAATTTTCAAAGAGGTCTTGCCTAATTTTAATTGAAATATACCAGTGACATTTGTTGTTGAAGTTACAGTCAAAAGAGCGAAACTCTTAGGATACTGCTTACCTTCGATAAAACCGAACATTTTGTTGAAAGAAATAAAAATTCATATAGTCTTCTTCGGTACTGTTATTCTCCCATATATTTCAACAAAAAGACGGAAAAGAAGCAGAAAAATGATTTCTTTTTCACGAACATTTTTTTATCCCACTAATCAAGGTCCGCACAAGACAGACGAAACGATTACTTTTCTCCTCTAATATACTGTTACTGAACAACAAACGCACACAAACACATAGTTGAATTTGTTAGTGTTGTTTAAGTATTAAGAACAGTAAAAATTGATGCAAATTTCATATTACAGCTGATACTTGTCTCTTTCAGATTCACTAATTTACGATTCAGAAAGACCTTGGTATTGAGGAGAAATACCTGAGATAAGATAATTGTTTCATGAATTAATTAATCTAAACTATTTAAGAAAAACACATGATAAAATATAACTGTGCTATGTCGGTTTATCGCTATCCGTGAAAATCAAACTGAAAACTGGAAACAATGGTTAGTAAAATTTCGCAACCTTGTAATGATGGTCGTATTGATGTTCCGGCTTCCTTGAAATCTGCACATTTTTTCCGATGCCTCTTAGCTCATTCAAAAACCAGTACTTTTCACCTCTTTTTTATTGTTATTATTTTTCTTGGACCTGGCATGCGGTATGTCGTGTCTCCATAGGATTGGTCCCGTTTTACTTTAGTGTCACAGTATAAACATGGAACATCTGTTAATGTTTTAAATACTACCCATAGGAAGAAAACTTGTTTGGGAACAGTTAATAGTCTTAACAGTTTTTTTGCGGAGCGAATAGTTCACTATGAAATGACCAATTTCCTTTTCAAACTCAGAGTGTGGAGGTCTTGCGGAAGCTTATGGCATTTATGCAATGAATTATTTACATAAGAGAATCTCGCCTGAGATGCATTTATTATTTCTGTGTGATGAAGTTTACAGTATGTCCTTGTGTTAGAGCTCATATTTCTTTATGATAGTTTTCTAACAGGCAGAGTATAGACGCTCATTTCCTTTTAGCTTAAAAACTGGTAATCGTCATCGTATTGAAGATTCGATTGAAATTAATTTGTGTGTATCAAAAAAGATAGGATAATTTCGATTAAGTTAAAAAGCACGAATATTTTGGTTAGATACGAAGCTGCATTCTTCGAACACTGAAGTTTCTAGTCCCATTTTTCAGGAAGTGAATACAAAACAACTGTTAGAAATACGGTTCTACTTTTGCTGAATAATCATGGTACGCCCTATGATTAAAGAAGTCCTACTGCTGGCAACACGGTAATATTGTGAATTTCATAGTATCACAGCCTCATACACCCACTGCAATAGGTCACACTATCATAGCTGGCCACCCGTGGGCGCAGGGGGAGGGGGCGGCAGCATGCGAGTGAATTACAAGACAGCATTGCACTACTTCTTCTTAGGTGAATAGAGTATGAAACTATGAAAGTCATAGTATCATACTGTGATACTATGAAATTCATAGTGTTACTGTGAAACTATGAAGCTATGAAAGTCATGCGATACAGTAATACTGTGGAAACGTGAAAGTGTGTTTGTGTGGTATTGGTATGGTAAGTCGATACTATGAATTCATGTTTATACTATAGAGTTTCACAGTATCAACTGACAGACATCCATCGTACAATGGCTATGCAATTGACTCAGTTATATTTTGAATGTTACTTATATAAATATATAAGAGCAAAAGAAAACCGTGAATAACAGTAAAGGTATTAAATCGTATATGACGGAAAACAGCATATTAATAAATGAAAAACTGTGCAGAATTGCTTTCGCTAATGTATGAATAAATGTTCTGTAACTAACCTGGTTAAATAAAATAGCCAATTCAACCATTGAGTTGATCGAATATTTTTCCGAGTGAGTTTAAGTGACTTATACTCAATAATTTCCTGGCAAGGCAGCAACCAGATTAGTCAGTGATACCATTTCAATCCTGCACATGCCTAATTGGCATGAAATAATATTCGTGTAAATATTCGGTTATATTAACTATTTTATTTAAACAAATTAGTTACAAAATATCTACTCCAGAGTTGAAATGGACTTCTAATTCCAAATCTAACCAGTTGGTTAGGTTGAGCTTTCCAACCGACTGGTTGGTGCCGGTTCAGCTTAGAAAAAAATGTTTTTTTCTCCATGAATAGAGCTGAAGAGAAAGAGTGGAATCGATTTTCTTGGAAACAGGAAAACGAACTTGGAACTTCCGATGAGTTTTCTTGAAGTTGTAAGCATCGTGGCAAATGCCCTGAAATGAGTGGCCTATGCACAAAATGTGTTTTTCTCGAAAACTAGTTTTTTGCTATCGAGCTTCATTGGATCACATTACGACCCCCCTTAAATTTCATCCAATCCAGTTAAAACTTTTACTAATCTTGACATTTTTCAATATTATCAAAGATTTTTAAATAATTAATTATTCTACGGAATATTTGTTGTGTTTGTAGATTTTCATCCATACTAATTACATTTTTATCGCACCATATTAATGTATGAGTATCAAGATTTCGGTCATCATCAATAAGTTGAACAGTCGTACAACTTTTATTTTGGCCGTTCGTTCCAATTGTTGAAGTTAACTGATTATTAAACAATGATGATGGTTTCGTTGGATTTGATTTGATTTTTTGAAACAGTAGGTGGTGGTTTTGAACGAGTTGTGCCCATTAAACAAATTTTATACAAAGTATATAAATATTATAGGGTCAGACATCGTGTCTACTGTGGATTAGCAAATTCAAAAATAGACAACTTTATTTAAACACACAGTAATAGAACCATTACTTGCTATCGTACTTTCTGAGAAAAAAATAAAGGGCTGAAAGTGTAAATTTTTCATTATTTCATATAAGTACACTTTTTACATTAAAAGAATTTATTCAATAGAAAAAACCTTGATGTATGCATACTGACCTGCTTCTTCCTTACGTTAGTATTAATCATGATATCTTTGAATAATAATTTCTTTCTATCCGGTGTTACAATCCTCTTTCATCTTTTGTAAATTCATCAAAATCTTTGTGTACCCACGCATTTGCTTAATTATGACATGCTTGAGAACGAAATGCGCCAACTCACATAAAAAATGCATCAATTTCACACCATGTGAAGAGGAAAGTGAACGTCTGCACTTGTAACGATTCCTATGCAAAATTTTGGCAACGGATTGCGCTATTTTAATTAAAGACGGTTGTGATTGTGAACAGTATACTCTCCATATTTAGTTGATAAATTAAAAAACAGATTTTACTTCAAAATATGATATTGTTTGTCTCATACAGAGTGATGTAGCAGACGCCATAGTGTACTCTCATTTCTTTCAATAGCATAGAGCTTATAACAATCCTATGTAACAAAAAGTGGATCACTATGAACTTTTGGTGAAAGCACATTTCTCAAACAAACTGCAACTAGACCTTTTACATCGCATACTTCCTTGGCTGTGTCTGCTTCCACTCTGCATGTTTTTCACCACATTCTTCGAATAATTTTCATGTCTAGTTTCCTTTGGCTGCATCATGTACTGTACCGTAATTATATTAAGCAAATAAACACTTATGTCAAACAAATTCGGAGAAAGAAGATAAGAAATTTTATGGCCAAGCAACATGTTAGAGACAAGAAGAACACGATTTGAATAGCAAAGTTTTGATGAGGCAATATTTCGAAGCTGGTCATAGATTGCTGAGCTCAACTTATCGCTTATTGCTCATCTGGCGTCGGTTTATCTCTCCCTCTTCCTGCTATATATACTGGTGTAGACGTTCACCTTCTTCTTCTTCTTAAAAAGTGTCTCTGTCACTTCTAGCTTGTTTTCAAAATAAAATAATGACTGATCTACAGTCTGTTCTTAAAATTAATTTCGGACATTTCGGACTTTTTAATAATAGAGGCTCAGTCTGACGCCGAAAAACTGCAACTTTTCGATGGAACTTCCCGGGGTAAGGAGGGTAAGGATGGCTTTTTTGAAAATTCCTTTCCATTGCTGAGAAATTTCGTTTTTTCTAAATCAGAGGCGAAAAAGTGGGAATTCTCCCGTAATTCGCAATTTTCGTAATCAGAACTCAACTTCTACGTTATAAAAATACCTTATTCGGAATCAGGATCAAAAGCTGAGTCGACTAATGTGTGTCTCTATCATATTCAAGTACTTTAAATTTTTTCGAATTTTCACGTTGAAAATCATCGAGATTTTCACCAAAAAATGAAAACCAAGTAAAAGTTTCGAAATACACATCAGTCGACTCAGCTTTTGATCCTGATTC